AAACTAGCCAATCATAGCATCAGAACTCTAAGCACTTGAGAGAGAGTGGGCACCTCCCAGAACATTGTTTTGTGCCACTCCCAACAGAAATACTCCAGATGGACAACTTCAGCAATCAGGAGCTCCTCAGTTGCCCATAGAAAATCCCACCTTGGAGTTTACAAAAACTTATGGGTAGAAAAGCCACACTAAGTAATTTACTACACCACAGTGCCTAAGGATTTGACTGCTAACTAGAAAGTTGGCAGTTCAAACCCACCAGCCACCCCTCAGAAGGAAGACTGGGCAATCTACTTCTTCCAGGACAGATTTGTTTCTTCTTCTAGAATTCCATGCTTTATTCAGTATTCTTCCCAAACCACAATTCAAATGCATCACTCCTCTGAGATCTTCCTTATTCACTGTCCAGCTTTCACATGCATATGAAGCTATTAAAAAAATATGACTTCCTTCAGGTGTACCTTAGACTTTAAAGTGACAGCTTTGCTCTTTAACACTATTTTTTAAAAACAAAATTTTTACTGATTTTTTTTTTTAAAAAAAGGTTGTTTTACATTCAACATAACGTGTACATTTAGTTTCATTCCCCATGTGCCATGTCCAACCCTAACCCAGTCTCCTCCCCTCCCCACCCTCTGATCCTCCCCGTGTCCCTCACATTTATGCACTCCTATTGGCCCTGCATTTCCTCAGTTTGAATGTTGGTCCTCTGGTGTCCCATGGTCCATTACTCTAAGGGATGTATTGCCATAGAGTATGTGGGTGTGTCATCCTGAGTTGAGTGGTCTGCGTGTAAATCTTGTTAACTATTGAGCTAAGAGCCTGCCCCGGGTGGTCAGTTTTATTCCAGGCTCAGAATGTAGTCCAGGGCCATAGTATTGGGAGTCTCACCAGATTTCATCTGACCAGTGATTCTGATCATTATTGAGTTTTTGGAATTTTGTTCCACGTTTTCCCTCCTACTCTATCCATGATCTCCAGATTTGATCCTTTCCTGAGTTGTTGGCATTGGTAGCTGGGCACCATCTAGTTCTTCTGGTCTCAAGGTCCATCGTGTCCTAGAGCTGGTTGCTTCTAAATGCCCCCCCTTTGTTTTTTACGTTCTTCTTCACTTCTGATGCTAGGAGACCGTTAGCTGTATCTTAGATGGCCGCTTGAAGGCTTTTAAGACCCCAGTCGCTACTCACCAATGTAGGATGTGGAGCAACGCTTTTATGAATTTTATTGTGCCAATTGAGTCTGGTGTCCCCCAGTACTATGCTCCTGAGGCAGTAGATCTATTGGATCTCTCTCCCATAGTGTCTGGTTGTCTGTGAGGGATCACTCTGTGTCTGTCTTCTATTGTTCCAGTAAGGACTGCAGTTATTTTGTATCACTGGTGTCTGTGCAAGATTAGCCTCAGCTGAATCTATCCTTGGTCTAGAGTATATTTCTGTTCATTGACTCCCGTCTGATCATCTCAGGTGTTTATGTGTTTATCTGTGTAGTCTAGTGCTTGGTGTTAATGGCAGTGTGGCATTGTGGGCACATTGGTTGATATTAGCATCTGTCTTGTATCTATCGTGTGCACAATTTGGTGTCCTCCCATTTTCTAATGTTATCATGGTGGTCATATATCCTTCCCATAAATCTCTCCCCCTACCCATGTCAGCTCTGGTAGCATAGTGCCTAAGGCACTTGACTGCTAACCAGAAGGCTAG